TTTGTACTATACATATATACAGCTTGTAGAGCCTCTTGTATTCAAGCAGTACAGCATGTTATTCTGGCTCCATTTCGTTATTTAATTTGTATAACAAATTGTACACGATTTCTGAAACATAGTGTATTCAAGGATACATTAGGTTTCAGTTACACAATTTATGAAACCTAGTGTATTTAATGTGACACAATTAATGAAACCTAGTGTATTTGAGTGTTACACAGTTTCTGAACCTAGTGTATTTAAATGTTACACAATTAATGAAACCTAGTGTATTCGAGTGTTACACAGTTTCTGAAACCTAGTGTGTTTAAGTGTTACACAATTTCTGAAACCTAGTGTGTTTAAGTGTTACACAGTTTCTGAAACCTAGTGTATTCAAGTGTTACACAATTTCTGAACCTAGTGTATTCAAGTGTTTCAACCATATATACATTGTGTATACTTATTGTATAGTTGTAGACTATGTTTGTGTCACAGTAGTTTGCGAAAGAGAATTATAAAACAGTGTGAGAACACATTGTTTAATTAGTAGTCGAGCAGTTTTTTTAACACCTTTTACACACTATTTGTTTGCAATGTCTGTTATGTTTCATATGTCAAGTTTTTTTTAATTGAAAACTTAAAGCATTCTATTATTATACCTGGTTATAATTACATGTAATCCCAAGAGACATTATTGTTGTTAACAGTTATATACTTTGTTATATATACATTTGTTGATATTAATGTATAGAATTATTATACAAATTCTGCAAGCATACTTATATATAATATACTATGTGTTTGAATGTGTATAAATATTTTTTTTTTATTTCTAAAAAAATAATATTCACTGTTAAATGATTTTATTAGTATATGTGATTTTTTTCCAATATCTGTATTTAGTATACATGTTGCGTACAGTAATTCATAATTTTTATTTATGAATAAAGCACTTTCCTGATATAAGTCTGTGTATGTTATCTATTTATTATCCCATTTTTTGTTAATGATGACCTCATGTTGTCAATAATGAAGAGTTACTAATGAATACTTCAGTGCCTGCAGCACTTTGATTTTCATTAGTTTGACCTCATGTTGTCAATAATGAAGTGTTACTAATGAATACTTCAGTGCCTGCAGCGCTTTGATTTTCATTAGTCTCAACCGTGTCTGATAAATCACCGTGAATATCCAGTAAAGTAGGAATGTGCAAATAATAGGTAATTTGTGTTAAAATAACGCCGAAACTGTGCAATTCTATAGCAGAAACAAGCTTAACTGAAAGTAGACGGACCAAGAAAGAAGTCAAATGGCGCATATATATGACTGCTAAGTAGACATCATGTATATTTTAACCAGCGTTATAAATATCTTACATGAGAATGAGAACCATGCTTACGTATTGGTGCCAATTTTTGTGTTTTGTGTTGTTAATAATTACATGTTTACTAGCTGGGACAAAAAATTACCCAGATGTACACTAAAGCCTAACAACTTTATTTGTGTTAAATTTTGTTATATTTGAGACATTGCCGATCTATTATCATATAATAAATAAATGGACCAGCTAGGCACTTTAAAAGTGTCTTAACCACATTTCAACTACTTATTGTAACTCCTTTGAAATTTATCAGTTTGAAAGGGTGAATAAAAGTCAATGATTTCGTAGGTTCTGAAGCTTTTATTTCTGTTGGCACAGCATGTATCTTAGACATCAATAGACAATCAATCTTCAAGTTTTCAGCACTAATTATAACCAGTTAACCTGGTAACCTCTTAACCACACTCAGTTTATGGAAATAAGTGTTTACTTCAACATTTACACAAATACATTATAATACTGCACGTTTGTAACGTCGCTTTTCATTGGATAATCTTGACGTTTATATAGCTTTATATACACGGCTGCTGTCGATTTATGAAGAAATCGCGCTTTAATCCTCTAAAAATGCTGCTTGCTGTATTATAAATTCGTCATAAAGATTTCTGACATGTTATATGGCCGTATATAAACGGTTGTTTGCAATATAACCCTCGCCTAGCGGCTCGGGTTATATATACAGACAACCGTTTATAAAGGGCCATATAACCTGTCAAGAATCTTTATAACTAATAATATACACTCTTCTCTCTCTCCAGTGTGCTGTTATTATCTTATAAATAATAATGATATTACATAAATCACAAAAAATTAAAAACCATAAGGACAATGTACATGTCTCCTCGCTCAAATGAACACAATAGTCACATGATCAAACTGGCGGGAAATCATAACCATTGACCCATAGAAAAACACTGGTCCAAGGGAAACAACTCTCTTAATGACAAATAATAACAGATTGTGTCCCTGTTACATTATATGACACGAGTTGTTGGTAAATGTCTTTGGTATATCAGCGTCTTTCAGATAGAAATCTATTTGAAAGACCCTGTGTATACCAAATATTTAAACACTGAAACAGTGAATTCGTTTTTGTACAAATAAATACCGACGAAACACAAAAGCTAGCCATGTCGACATTATCACAAATGATCTTGAAAAGTAAACATATTTAATGTTAAGCAGCCATTAATTTTGTCCTTATTCATTTCTTTCAAAAGTCACGGACACAGGACTTAAGGTGAAGCCCCGTCCCTAGACGCCCTTGAATGCGGATGTTTTATATAAAAAGGAACATAACCAGTGAATATCAGTAAAAGGGTAATAAGTTAAATGTAGGTCACTTAATCCTTGTTTATTGGAGCCTGGCTCTTCACTGAGCTTCCTAGGCCTGTCATAGAAAAATGTCGGCCAAAACACTGCATGCCTTCATGCCATTTCTTCAGGCCTTTTCCAAGTCATTTCATTTTTTTTTTTGGAAAAAGTTCCCAGCCCAGTTTCAGAAAAAAAATGGAAAAAATGTTTTGCACTATTTGAATCCTCTTCACTGATTCAGGCTCATTTGACGAAGCGTTTTAAATTGTGCGACATTGGTTATTATAACCTATGTCAATGAAGTGTAACTATTTAAAAGACCCTGTTTTGACACAGCACTTGACCTTCACGACTACAAATGATAGCATTTTAAGTTTCGCGCTTCAAAATCTTTGCTTCTGTTTACTAGTCCCCTAACGGTTTAACAGATTAACCCTCCTTCCGTCTGTGCATCCGTCAGTCCGTCGACAAAACTGGATCCCGCGATAACGAAAATAGTACTGAATACATTTTTATGAAACATGATATATGGATAGATGGCAGTCTGGAGATTATGCGCGTCTTTTTCTTTCCTTCCTGTGTTGAAAACTTGGTTTCTATGGCAACAAGTAGACTGAAATTATGGCTAATTAACACATAAACTGGATTCAGTGATAACGCAAAAAGTACTGAACATATTTTAGGAAACTTGAAATATGGGAAGATGACCGTCTGGAGATTATGCACGTCTTTTTCATTTCACTCTATGTTGAAATTTTTTGTTGTTATGGCAACAAATAGCTTTAAGATAAATGATAAATACTATAGGGAGTATATTGAGTGCTGTCCTACTCGCAAAGCATCGGCGACGTTGTCAAGATTTCTGATTCAAGATTTTACGGGTTTTCACTATAAGTTCATTAATTATTTCTTAAGGTATTTACTTCAAACTTCAAATATTATGTTTCAGATCATCGAAGCAAAGTTTACAACTCTAGCACAATCTGATTAGATTTACCCCCTTGAACTAAGAATATTCATGAAAAAATGATGTTTTTTTATAACTTCTTTATTTCTTAATGTATCTACATGTACTTCAAAATTCATATTATCTAGCGTTTTATTTTCACTCAAATCATTTTGGAGAAGGTTCAATACTATTCTACCTTAAGTATTTCCAGGATTCCCCTTGAACTTAGATTTTTGTCAAGAAACTTTTATTTTTTACTCAAACTTCTTCATTTCTTATAGCATTTACTTCAAATTCCAACATCATAAAAATATGACAAGGGTTATAAATCTAGCGTCCATAAAGATATACCCTCAGAGTGTCTGTCAGTTAGTCCTGTCTGTCCGTTCCTAAAATCTGTTTCCTGACATCACTTTTAAAGAACTTTTCCAACAAATTTACTTAAAATAGAGAAAAGTTGAAACATTAGTTATAAATATTCATCCTGAAAAAATTGGATCGTCTGATTATCTCTTGTATAAACATAATTTCATTACTGTAGTAGGCAGGAAAACTTAACAAATTACTAAGATATAGACAAACTAAGAACTCAAGACATTTAAGTTCATGTCATTCATTCATGTCATTCATTTATGTCATTCATTCATTCATTCATTCATTCATTCATTCATTCATTCATTCATTCATTCATTCATGTCATTCATTCATGTCATTCATTCATGTCATTCATTCATGTCATTCATTCATTCATGTCATTCATTTATGTCATTCATTAATTCATTCATTCATTCATGTCATTCATTCATGTCATTCATTCATGTCATTCATTCATGTCATTCATTCATGTCATTCATTCATGTCATGTCATTCATTCATTCATTCATTTAATGGCATAATTCAATGACCACTGTCCCTTCAGAATGTTGCTGGGGTTGTAACTGGTAGGGGACTTATGGATTGATTGCAATACTATGATAATTGCTTGTTGACTGCTATCAAAGTAGTTGTTCTGTTTATTGACTGCTATCATAAACCAGTGGTACAAGTGCAGATTGCAGAAGTCGACATCCTGACACTATATATATATAGTTGGATTTGAGCCCACGACCTCCGGATAAAGAGTCCACTTTCCTTCCTCCACTTAAATAAAGTCTATAAGTTTCATTTTATCTAAATCTCTGCAAACTGTAAAGTACGGAAAGAACAGTTGTTGTTTAATCCCTGTTTCTGAAAGAAAGAAAGAAAGAAAGAAAAAAAGAAAGAAAAAAAGAAAGAAAGAAAGAAAGAAAAGAAAGAAAGATTTTTTTATCGGATATGGTACGGGATTCAGGAACAAAAACAAGCACGGCATATAGTCTATCTGCCAGATCATGTGACATACGTGGCTGTGAACAAAATGGCTGCGCCCATGGTGTTTGTCAACATTGTTGTCAACGGATTGTCTTGCCTTAGGCATGCGGAAAACATTAGTAAATAACAATTTACTTTGCAGGTATGTCATATTTTCTACCCTGTTTTAATTCTATACTTCAGTTTAATGTTGATTTTTAAGCTTTTGATGGTACATGCAGATAATTAGAAAAAACCTGTAAACATTGTTATGCTTAATTAATGCTGCAGCTGCTTATGATAATAATACTTATGATAATCATCAGTTAACAGGCTGGTGAAAATGCCGTATCAGGCTTATGACATAAAAAATCATATTTCTAGAAAAATAATCAAGATATTTCTTTTAAACTTTGTTTGTTTATTGAACATAATGTAATATGAAAAAGGCAAAGCCTCAAAGCGAGCTCGATGTACTTTTAACGTCAAATAGTATGAAATAATCGTTCATTTTTATTTCAAATGCAGTGACCAGTGCGTGTGACGTCACACGTACTGTGTTAAATATGGCTCCGTCCCTGTCGTTAAATTAATAACGAGTTTTGGAAACGTTGATAAAACTTTGTTTGTTTATTTTATTTCACTCTATAATTTATCAAGCGAAATAAAGTTTATTAAAAGTGAAATAAATGTTAAATTTAAAACGTTTGCGACATTGAAAAAGCGTACTTGATTTGATTGTTTTGCACGTGCTGTTTGGCGCTACATTGTGACGTCACGTAAACAATACTTTAAACGTCTGTACAGCGTTAACGACTGAATAAAAGATATTGGTGTTCGGATTCATTTTCTTAGTTAGACCATTTTCTTTCATTCTAGATAGTTTTCACAACAAAATTCGACAAAAAACTGTTTTTATTTATCAGATTTTTCAAACAAAATGGCTCTTTCAAGTTTCATTTTACATTTTCCGTTTTAAAACTGTCATTCGTTATTTTATACACAACTTCCGTTGTTCTGGTTCCCTGTCCAATTATGGTTCCTATAGACGTGCGCGGGTGACCAGTCTACACATCCGTTTTCACAAACTCCTCACAGTGATTACCTCCCTTGGCAGAATTGTAATCACTGCCTTCAAAGACGTCACATGATGATGAAAGTCACATGACGTAACGTCGAAATTCAAATGTAAATATCGACCGTTACATAGAAAATCTAACGTCATTTTTCTCTTTCTGTTTTATTTTTAACTTTTAGTGCCTACGTTCGATATAGTTTATCAAAAAATTATCAAAAGTGTACAAAATAACGAAAAATAAATTCAAAAGCTAAAAAATATAAAATATCAAAATATTGTCTCGGTAGAAAATATTCTCATAATTTTAAAATTATTTCTAAATATTCATATTATTTATTTATTTATCCATAAACATTGTTTAATCAATGAGAAAAAACTTAACTGATAGATAAAAGCAGTAAATAAAACAATTTTTGAAAAAAATATAGTATATCAGAAATTCTGATATATCGGGACCTTGGTGGCAGAGATCTACGCCGAAGCATTAAGGGGAGATCACTGCGTGGAGATTGCCGTTTTCAGTCAGAATTCCTCAGTTTTTATCGTTATCTTTTAATTCGAAAAGTTGCGATGTGTCCAATTCGGTACTTCGGACGAAAGTTTTCAAAATCATCACTTAGCAGGTACTCGCGTTACCGTAAAGCTCGCTTTGCGAGCGGGCCCTTCGGGCCAGCTCGTCGAGCTCGCTATAACATAAACAGAAGGTAACTGTCACTTTTTTGAGAATTATTTCCCCTTTTTCATGTTTATATGACAGATAATTTTTGAAGTCCTTAAAAAATATGTTGCAATGTAAAATTCTTAACAGAAATGTGTCCGAGATCTTCATTTTGCTCAAAATTATTGCGCCGGTACCTTTATTCTATATATTTGGATTTAATATTCTGTTTCTGGGATTTGTATTTTGACAATTCTTTGACAGTGAACATTATACTTTGAAGTTTTCTTTGGAAACTGAATGAAATGTATACTGAAAGGTGTTGGAGTAATAAATTAGATCATAAAGAAGTTATTTAACCTATTTTGTTTTATACTTTGTATATGTAAGATATTTTTTAAGGACTTGGAAAATTATTGGGCTAAGAATTCCACAAAAATACAATTTTTGATTTATTTTAATCTAGGAAGTGGCTAGCGGTACGGGCCTGTACGGCTAGCCAAAAGTTCTAGCCGTATGTGAGTCACGTACGGGCCCGTACGGCTAGCCAAAAGTTCTAGCCGTACGTGAGTCACGTACGACAAGCCAGGACGTACTGTATTGGCTAGCCGTAAGGCACTTTTCAAAATTATATGGAAGTCGAAAATATGCATATGTTACTTTATGACTTTAAGCGAGGATTTTAACCAAGAAACAGCAATTGTCTTCGTATGTTTACTCTCGCATTGTTGGCTATCGATCTTTGTCATCTGGTTGCATTTAAACAATTGAAATAGTTTACAAAGTTTTGATAATAATCCTTTTTGGTTTCATTAAGTTTAATTTTCGACACCTTTAAAATGGAAAAAAAAACAACACCGAAAATAATTGTTGTTGGGCTCTGATAATTGCGTCAATTACTGACGGTATAGAAGTTTGTCCATCATATTAAGGAAAGTTTGCATGTTCCGTGAAACGCATTCTAAAATGCCATTGTCAGTCCTTAGATAGGCTTTAATTAAGGCTAATCAATTGATTGTGCTTTTATGTAAAAATTATACAATTATTTTTGCTTAGCACCGTTTTCTTTTTCAATGTTCTTTTTTATCTATTTATTTATTCCACTACGATCAATATTTATTCGATCCATGAGCTTAATAAACAAAAATGATTTAATAATTCATCTTTCATACAAATAAAACAACAAATGATAAGCATGAAAATCAACGGTATAACTTATAACATGCAACTTTGACACTTTTAACAAGATAGATTATACAACGCTAGTTCGTATTCATTTTTTTACAAAATGACAGAGCATCTTTGTTAAAGTGAACACACGAGGACAAATGCAGAAACTTGATTATAATCCTAGTTTAAAGACACAAAATAACATATGCATATAATTTTGAAAAGTGCCGTACGGCTAGACAATACAGTGCGTCCTGGCTAGTCGTATGTGACTCACATACGGCTAGAACTTTTGGCTAGCCGTATAGACCCATACGGCTAGCCACTTCTTTTAATCTATGTATATTTCTATGTTATCTCTTTTTCCACATTTTTCTGTTTTCAATGCCCTAGCTGATCTATGTAAAGAAATTATATTTTTTATGTTTTTAGATCTCAGTGGAGTTCATTTAAGTCAAATTATTGCTTTACCTAGAAATTGTGCAGTTTAAAGAGACTCCACTGAGGTTTTTTGACATGATGGGACTGAAAATATTTTTTCCAGATAAATGTACCATTTGATGTAGGTTTAGACCACTAATCTTTGTGCAAAATTTCAGATCATTTGCGCACTTCGTTTTTCCAGAATAATTATTCAAATTGTAAAAAAATGACCCAAAATGAAAAGCATTTAAACGCTTTTCACTCAAATCGGGCTAAGAAAAGCATAAAAATACAATTTTCAATTTATTTCAAAGTATATTTCTTAACTATCTTTGCATATATTTCTGTTTAAAGTGCCCCAGCTCATTTATGTAAGAAATTCAAATGTTATGTTTTTAGGCTTTTAAACCTCAGTGGAGTCCCTTTAATATCCAACACTGAGAAAAGTGGAGCACGATGCTCCTCTGATGGCTTTTGTTTTGTTATGAAGGCATAAAAACATGTCTCTGAGCAATAACTGAAGTTTAGACTGATAAATTTTTATATCAAGAATTATAGAAAAGTAACCTCCACTGATGTTCTTTGTGTTAAAGATCCTGTAACACAAATTTCTTTATGGTTTTAAATCATAAACTTTAAGATGATGCTCAAAATAAGATTTATCAATATTGTAAGTTCCAAAAATCATTATTTGTAAAGATATTACCAAATATAACATTTCATGTAAATAAAGGGAGGTAATAAGAAATTTATTTTCCATAAATTCAAAGTCAAATTTTTCAATAAGAAATGAATGCATATATTTTAATCATTACATAATTATAATGCATACAAATATTTGCAGTACATATAATTTATTTTACATATTCTTTGATGTTTGAAAATTGTTTTTATAAGCATAATTATACACATATATAAAATTTCACTTTAGTGTGGTATACAACCTTAATTATAACATACAGGATCTTTAAATTCCATACATAATTTCTAAACATGTAACTTTAAATTTCAGAAGTCCTAGACACATGTTTCAACAAATTACTCAGCAATGAACTTGCCACTTGTAAGAAGAAAGTACAGAATTTTATCACTGATTGCAGTGGCTGGGATAATATATCTGTGCTTCCAAATATTCTCAATGAAAGTGCTCAATTTTTCTAGTAAACATGACTTGAGACAGTTATCAAAACAACAAAATGGTAAAGTATTAGATGATTTTCACCCAAAGTCAGATCTGAAATATGTGAAAGATATTCCCGTTGCCAAAGGTAAAAAAGTGCCTATAGATAGTGTTGTTAAAACAGTTGATAAACAGAAATCTATAAATGATTTCACAAAATTAGTTAGAGGTATTCACTTGACACATGTGGAGGATTATAAACCAAATTCTGAAGGAAAATTTCAGTGTCTTGATTCAAAGGTAGGTAGTTTTAAGTGATTCTAAATAACTTGAATTTTTTTTTTTTTGATTGGGTTTTACGTCACACCGACACAGTATAGGTCATTTGGCGACGTTTCAGCTTTACTGGTGGAGGAAGACCTCAGGTACCCTTCCATGCATTATTTCAGGCACGTACGGGCACCTGAGTAGAACCACCGACGTTCCGTAAGCTAGCTGGATAGCTTCCTCACATGAAAGAATCCAAAGTCCCTGTCGGGATTCGAACCCACAGCGGTGAGGAAATAACTTATACTGTTTGAATTATATTATATACCAATTAAAGAAAACATTGTTTAAAGGTTTAAGTGCTTGTATTACTTTTAGTCTTTAAATTAAAATTTAAATATATAAATACATATCGTCACTTTATTGCAATAACTGGTTAACACCTATTTACATTTGTAATTTAGAAAGACTTTTAACTCATTACTGCACTAAGGTGATAATATATTAAATAAAATTGTTTTATTGTATAACATGCTTTTCAGATACATGTGTATTTGTTTTTTTCAATTTTTCCAATTTCAGTTATAAATGAAAATGAGCCGCTTCACGACAAAACCAACATAGTGCGTTTGCAACCAGCATGGATCAAGACCAGCCTGTCTATGCGCACAGTCTGAACAAGATCCATGCTGTTCGCTATCAATTTCTCTTCTTGTAATAGGGTTGGTAAGTGAACAGCATGGATCCTGATCAGACTGTGCGGATGCACAGGCTGGTTTGGATCCATTTTGGTCGCATACACTCTATATTGGTTTTGTCATGAAGCGGCTCAAATGTTTTGTATACCTTTACAGAAAATGATACCTTTTTCCTCTGTTAATGATGATTATTGTGACTGTGATGATAGCAGTGATGAACCAGGTACCTCAGCTTGTCCTCAATCTAGGTAGGTTTAAATAATACCATAATCTCAATCAGGATAACTTTACATCTTTAAATACCCTACACTGCTGCTTACCCTCAGTCAGGGTAACTTTATCACATTAAATACCTTACACTGCTGTTTAGCCTCAGTGTGGGTAACTTAACCTCATTAATTTTTAACTATCAAATACTGTTGTTTACCCTCAGTCAGAGTAACTTTGTACTACAAAACACTGTTGTTTACCCTCCGTCAGGGTAACCTTACCTCATTAACTACCAAACACTGTTTTTTACCCTCAGTCAGGGTAACTTTACATCATTAACTACCAAACACTGTTATTCACCCTCAGTCAGGGTAATTTTACATCATAAACTACCAAACACTGCTGCTTATCTTCAGTCAGGGTAACTTTACATCATTAACTACAAAACACTGCTGGTTACCCTCTGTCAGGGTAATCTTACATCATTAACTACAAAACACTATATTTACCCTCAGTCAGGGTAACCTTACATCATTAACTACCAAACACTGTTATTTACCCTCTGTCAGGGTAACTTTACTTTGTATCAAAGTTTGGGGAACTTCTGTTGAAAATGCGTCAGATTTAAATCGTATACAATGTACTTATACATGCACAGTGCGTTAACTGGAGTGCAGGTATTAATTACCTGCACTCCTGAGCACTCCCATTGATTGGTTCATTTTTGCTGGGGTTTACATATTGTGACGGCAGAGAAAGGAAACGTGACAGATATATAATATTCAGATGCTCCTTCATTTGTTACTTTTTTTCTGGGGTTTCATATTGTGACAACAGGGAATGTGAGAGAGAAAAGAGAAAGAACACTAAAACACTCCGCAATCTGATTATGCTCTTTCTATTACATATTAACTACCAGACACTGCTGTTTAACCTCAGTCAGGGTAACTTTACCTCATTAAATACTGTACACTGCTGCTTACCCTAAGTCAGGGTAACTTACCTCAGTAACTACCAAACACTGTTACTAGTATTTACCCTAAATCAGGGTAACTTTATCTCCTTAACTACCAAACACTGTCAGGGTAACTTTACCTCATTTACAACCAAACACTGCTGCCTACCCACTATCAGGGTAACGTTACATTACTAACAAGCAAGTAACCCCATTTTTATCCAACAACCTTTGATATGTCATTTGTGTCCTACAAACATAGCGTATATGTGTTAAATATTAGCATTTCAGTGTAGGCGTGTGGTGAAAAAGATTCACTTTTTAGTGACAATTAGTGGGTCTTTACGCTATGTGGATCTTTGTCACTGTAAACAGTCATTTTCTTAGGTATGTGATAAATAGAATATCTTCATGTGGCGAGAATAATATTGTTTTATTCAACAAGTTCAATAAATTTAGTATTGAACCAACACTCATTCAAAATCCTCTATTTATGACTTCGTTTTTTTTCTTTATATTTATAGATTTTATTGCACGTTTCAAAACCCTGATATAGAAGCGCAATATATACTGGGGTCAAGGGTCAATGATGGCGTGTGTGACTGTTGTGATGGAAGTGATGAATGGACTGGAATATCTGTATTTTCTGGCGTTCATTTAACAGGTAAATCTATGATGACCAGGCCCCGTGTTCACAAAGATTTAAGGATAAAGATCAGGATCAAATTAAAAAAACTCTAATATTCTTCATTGTTTATCTTCATAGATTAATTATCTAATATTAATATTGACATGATAAAACTGGACTTGCAATTGCAAGTGTATGAAATTTTAGAATAAATTTATTGTTATTTTTGCAAGATACGGACATTTTACAGTTGATCCAAATATTGATCCTGATCCTAAAATTGATCCTTATATTGATCCGAATCTTTTTGTATTTGCTTTATTATTTGTTGTTTTTATCCCAAAATTGTTTGGTTTCTTTGCAAATCAGAATATTTTTACATTCTGAATATTTACCATTTAATTCTAACAAAACACAATTTAAGTAACATAAAACAATGAAAATAAAATCAGGATCACATGATCCTGATCCTGATCTTTTCTTAGTGAACACAGGGCCAGGAAATATCATTTTGAAGTGGCCCATTATGCCTCATAAATGCCTCAAAAGTTTTTTTAAATTTTGTTGAACGTTTTTGGTGTATCAAAAAAGAATTACCTTAAGCTGTTGCTTTTTGGCAATATGTACAGGTATGGTGAAATAGTATTTTGTATGGGAGTCAAATACTATTACATATTGCTTCTTCTATGACAAATTATTTCACATTGATTGCTACTTTCTTCAGGTGACAAGTTTCTAACATTCTCCAAAACCATTATTTGAAGTGTATAAAGCTATATACAACATGTATCTGATACAAACATTATTCTTTGGATTTTAAGAATGTATACTTACAAAATGCTTGTATGAAATAAATATGTTAATTTATTGCCTTAAAAGTGAATGCGCATGCACAAAATCATTGCTAAAGGGATAAAACCCTGAATGAAATGACAAAATGATATTTTGTTCTGGAACTTTTTTTTTCTTTTTTTTATTTTAAACATGGTGAATAGTTAACTTAAGTCTCACAATGCTTGTGTAATGAAACATTGTGAATAGTTAAGTCTCACATTGCTTGTGTAATGAAACATTGTGAATAGTTAAGTCTCACAATGCTTGTGTAATGAAAGATTGTGAATAGTTAAGTCTCACAATGCTTGTGTAATGAAACATTGTGAATAGATAAGTCTCACAATGCTTGTGTAATGAAACATTGTGAATAGTTAAGTCTCACATTGCTTGTGTAATGAAACATTGTGAATAGTTAAGTCTCACAATGCTTGTGTAATGAAACATTGTGAATAGATAAGTCTCACAATGCTTGTGTAATGAAACATTGTGAATAGTTAAGTCTCACATTGCTTGTGTAATGAAACATTGTGAATAGTTAAGTCTCACAATGCTTGTGTAATGAAAGATTGTGAATAGTTAAGTCTCACAATGCTTGTGTAATGAAACATTGTGAATAGTTAAGTCTCACATTGCTTGTGTAATGAAACATTGTGAATAGTTAAGTCTCACAATGCTTGTGTAATGAAACATTGTGAATAGATAAGTCTCACATTGCTTGTGTAATGAATCATTGTGAACAGTTAAGTCTCACAATGCTTGTGTAATGAAACATTGTGAATAGTTAAGTCTCACATTGCTTGTGACAAAACTTTGAATGGCAATTCTGATATTTCATCTATGAAATATTTTGAATAGTTAAGTCTCAAAATGCTTGTGACAAAAATATAGTTTAATATACATGTATTGATATTTTTAGATAAAAGAATGGCAGGAAGTTTACAGCATGCGCCGTGTAAAGATGACTGTCAGGCTATTCTCAAGGTCAATGAAGAAGATGCCAGAATACGAGAACTGGGAAAAAGATTAAAACAAACTTATTTAGAGAAAGGGCGTAGAATCTCTAAACCAGAGGTAGGGTTTTTCGATTAACCTTTTAAATTTATTTTTTATCATCAAATAAATTGTAGCAATTTTCCACAGCTGACTTATTTGTTGGTATTTTCATGCCCTGCAGACTTATAGTAATTTCACTATCCGTCTGTTTGTCTCTCAAAGCCGTCCAACACCCAGTTGTTTATAAGCTGCATTTTATCCATAATCGTAGTTTAAGATTGAGAAAAGAAGGGAATGACATAAACGGTTAGTTTTAGTAGTAAGTTTTACTAATTCATGTAGAAAAATGCCATACACCCTAACAGTTTGTATGTCTCCTGTGTACAGAGCAACTTCATTTTCGGTTTGGTAGATAGATATCTATGTCCTCTAACTTTAGTTGGAGTTTTTGTCAGTAGGATCAAGATCAAGGTCATTATTGGTAAAAAATGTATTTTTACACTTTTGCTCATTCAGCATTTATCTGAATACCAATGTCTTTCATATTTAATAGAACATATCTTTGGTTGACCTGCACCTTTTTGTGGAAAAGGGGTCACTTGGATAAAGGTCAAAATCACCAGTGCTTAAAATAGATTTTAATACTTGCCCTTACAGCCTTTATTTATCATAATTATCGGGAAGAAATCATGGGTAGACATCTACATTTTGTTGAAGTTTGGAATAACTGGATTAAAGGTCAAGGTTGTTAGTTCTTCAAATAGAGATCTACACTTTTGCTTATACAGGTTTTTTTTATTGACCAATGTCTTCCCTGTTAGTGTAAGGGTCTTGGGGTACAAATTTAAGGTGTGAAAAATATTTTTTACCCTTTTACTGGTACAGTCTTTATTGATCTATGTCTTTCATACTTGTTAAGAACTTAAATTGAGTATATATGGTTCTTTTCCTTTGGTAGTAGTGAGAATGCATTGTGGTCAAGGTCACTAGTGTTAAAAATATATATCTTTTTTTACACTTTTGCTCATACAGACTTTGTTAACTGACTGATGTCTTTCGTATTTGTTACAATTACAAATGTACATCTAATTGCATGGGTACAAGTTTTCAGGCATATGCCTGGAGTTCAGGTTTTTTACACTCCTAAAAGCACTCTTTTTTTCTTTGTAAAACCAGTCAAAATAATGTCTAATTCAGGGTTTTCAAGTTTTCTGATATTTTTAACTGGCACCCATGTAATTGTATTCAACCAATATTTATATGGCATAATCACATGTAATTATGTTTCCCATTCAATTACAAAATTAATGTTCAAATGTTTATGGTACAATAACATTTTTATGTTCACCACTTAATTATATGGAACAAATACATCAAATTATGTTCACCATATATTAATATACTTTGAGAAGAGTTCTTTGAATATTTCACAGCAATATGGACCGAATGGTGTGTTCTATAAATTGTCAACAGAGTGCTTTGAGTATGATGCTCATGAATACAAGTACAAGTTATGTCCCTTTAAGTCGGTCAGTCAACAGGCATTTCCATCAGCACCAATAGATCTGGGTAAGATTTATTTTCATTTCAATTTTTATATGCTAACCTACTAACCTACTATCAGGTAGTTGTTACAGAGGTTTGTTTAGATCTCAAATTAAGGACAATATCATATTAAAGGGAGACATTGGCAAAATTTTCATTTCCTCGTTTTGAATTTTTGATTTATTATTCTGTAAATGTGATCGAGATGAATACACTAGGCAGTCACAAGAACAACACTTTTCTCCTTATAAAGAATTAAATGATGGTTTCCCAACCTGACCCACGTGGGCATATATTCATGTCGGTTAGGTTAGAACATTAAGATGTCACAATTGTTGTCATATTGAACTCTGGAAACATTAAAGAACACGTCAAACGAATGACTTAGACTTGTTTCAATCATACAATATCCAAAATATCTCTTATTGTATCTTCAAGGGTGTGTTCAAGTCACAGGACATGTTTTTAAAACTACTGGATGATTCTGTCTGCGTCTCAATTTAAAAGTTTTAGAATTTTTTTAAATGTATAAAGCTACATTGTATATATCTGCTGAAAAAAGATGTTTAAATTTTTAGAAAAAAAAATGCTTTCAAAATATCTGTATGAAACGTAAATTTAAGAGCATATGGCACATTCACGATGCAATTGATAAACCGTTTTAATCCTACTAAAATAGCAACATAATATTGTTCAGGAACAATATTTTCTGATTACATACAAATATTCATGTGTGTTGAATGAGACAGGCACTCTTTGCTACAGTTATTTTGAGAAACAGGTAAAAATATAATAATGAGCCACGTCACAACAAAACCAACATAATGGGTTTGTGACCAGCATGGATCCAGACCAGCCTGCGCATCCACGCAGTCTGATCAGGATCCATGCTGTTCGCTGTCAGTTTCTCTACTTGTTATAGGGTTTGTTTGCCACTAAATTATTATTTTATATTATTACAGGAAAGAGCCCTATATGGAAAATTAAACTACCAGGACATTTTGTTTTGAAGATGGACAAAGGTGACTCATCAAGATGCCCTATGGGTAAACACAGAAATACTGTGGTTAGTACAAAATGTTGAACTTGAATTTTATTCTAAGACTACAATACTAAAATAAGATTACGCAAATTGCATTGCACAAGTTACATTACACAAATTACTTAACACAAATTACATTACACAAGTTGCATTATGCAAATTATATTACACAAATTACATCAATTACACAAGTTACATTATGCAAGTTACATAACACAAATTACATTACAAAATTTACATTAATTTTCACAAATAAAATTATACAAGTTGCATTACGCAAATGACACTACTCAAATTACATTTCACAAGTTACATAACATCAATTTTATTACACAAGTTAAAAGACATAAGTAAAATAACGCAAATTACATCATAGATATTTCAGTACACAAATGACAGTACACAAGTTACATTACTCAAATATAAGTAACATTACTCAAATTTTATTACACAAGTGAAATTACAGAAATTACATAACCCAAATCACATTACACAAATTACATTATACAAATTGTATTGCACAATTGCATTACACAAATTATATCACATCAGTTATATCACACAAATTACATTACACCAATTGCATCATCCAAATTACATTACACAAATTACATTAATTACACAAGTTAAATTACACAAAATACATTATGCAAATAGCATCACACAAATAATATTACATAAATTACATTACAGAAACTACATTATTCAATATACATTTATAGTATTAAATTACAAAATCAAAATTACATAAATTACATTATACAAATTACATTACACAAATTACATTACAGAAACTACATTATGCAATATACATTTATATTATTAAATTGCAAAATCCAGATTACACAAATTACATTATACAAATTTCATTACACAAATAATTATTACAGTATACAAATTTCATTACACAAATTACATAACACAGTCAATATGAACACTGATATTATATGTAATTATTTCAGGTGACATTTATATGTGGTCTAACAGACAAGATTGTGAAAGTTTCTGAAGAAGAAAAGTGCTCATACTCCATGAAATTTTCAACACCTGCAGCTTGTTGATGAAGGTTATGTTTTAGGAACGATAAATGAGCCGTGTCACGATAAAACCAACATAATGGGTTTGCGACCAGCATGGATCCAGACCAGTCTGATCAGGATTCATGCTGTTCGCTTTCAAACTCTATAACAAGTAGAGAAACTGATAGCGAACAGCATGGATCCTGATCAGACTGCGCGGATGCGCAGGCTGGTCTGGATCCATGCTGGTCGCAAACCCAATATGTTGGTTTTGTCATGACGCGGCTTAAATGTGTTTTAAGAGTATACATTCAGTTTAAGTTTTTGAAGAAAAAAACAAGCTATTATCATCCCATATTTTGTTATAAAGTTTAATCAGAAAGCAGCAGAAATCCTAAAAAAAAACTGACTTGCATAAGTATTTGTTAAAAGAAATTTGTGAAGTTTGCTGAAATTTTTTTAACCACCCATTCATCATTGGAGCGCCTTAATGGCGAGAAGATTTAGAAAACATCAAAGAAGTGACTGTAACTAGGAAAACAGGGGTCGTTTCAAACAGCAAGTGCTGATAATGAACTGCCAGTGCTGCCAGTATAAAGTCAAACAAAGGGAGCAAACATATTATTGAGTTGCAGTGTTACTTTTAAACACTACCAAAGATTTAGGACGTTTTCATTGTTCATTATGTATCGTTTAGTACTGGACTTTAACCTGCAAAGATAAGTAGTATCATTGTGCTTAAAAGTTGCTACATTCCAACCTCTTGGATATAGAGACTGTTGGCTAGACTTCGTTTCTAAATAGGACATCATCAGGACAGTACAGGAAGCACACATACATCATTTCATTATGGAAAAATGAACAACATTTAGCTGGTTCTCTAGACACCAGAATCTGATAAACTTCCCAGGTTCATGTCGTAACAGCAAAAGCGAAGAATGTTAGTGTATATACACATTTTTATCACATGGTTTACTATAGGCAGTCAAATAACTTTATTTCCTATCAAATAGGACTTCCAGTATTATACTGTTTCTTTCATAACTTAACTTTTATGTTTATTGATATGATATATATTTATTTTTAACACACATCAGTGCCGATTTTGCGACTCCGTAAATATGGTATTGCACGGCCGTGCATATATTTTGACGTGATGTCATTAGTGTTATACAAACATAGTGTAAAGAAGTGCTAAATGTTAGCGTTATACTATAGGCGCGTCAATTAAAAATAACTCTTATCTCACTTTAAATGGTCTTTATTTTGATTATGTGATAAATAGAATATTAAATTCGTGTAAGTTCATTACTTAATTTATTGCACTCGTTGAATATAATAATATTATGCTTGCCTCAGGCTCGCATAATATAATTTTATTCAACTCATGCAATAAATTTAGTAATGAACTTACACTCATTCAATATATTATGTAGAGTGTGATGTGATGTGAGACGCGGCTTTTCGACTTGTCTGATAATTGTACAAAGGTGTGTGATTAATACTTGTAATAGATATCCAGACTATGTTAACACTGGCGATTCTTCTAACTTGCTGGTTTTGTTGATACTGGCGATTCTTCTTACTTGATGGTTGTGTTAATACTGGCGATTCTTCTTACTTGTAATGATTGTGTTAATACTGGCGATTCTTCTTACTTGCTGGTTGTGTTTATACTGGCGATTCTTCTTACTTGATGATTGTGTTTATACTGGCGATTCTTCTTACTTGATGATTGTGTTAATACTGGCGATTCTTCTAACTCGTTGATTGTGTTGATACTGGCGATTCTTCTTACTTGATGATTGTGTTAATACTGCAGATTCTTCTAATTTTCTGGCTATGTTTATACTGGTGATTCTTCTTACTTGCTGATTGTGTTTATACTGGCGATTCTTCTCACTTGCTTGCTATGTTAATACTGGCAATTCTTCTTACTTGCTTGCTATGTTAATACTGGCGATTATGCTTATTGCTAGCTGTGTGTTCATACTGCCGATTCTTCTAACTTTCTGGCTATGTTTATACTGGTAATTCTTCTTACTTGCTTGTAATGTTAATACTGGCGATTCTTCTTATTGCTGGCTGTGTGTTTATACTGTCGATTCTTCTAACTTTCTAGCTATGTTTATACTGGCGATTCTTCTTACTTGCTGGCTGTGTGTTTATACTGTCGATTCTTCTAACTTTCTAGCTATGTTTATACTGGCGATTCTTCTTATTGCTGGCTGTGTGTTTATACTGTCGATTCTTCTAACTTTCTAGCTATGTTAATACTGGCGATTCTTCTTATTGCTGGCTGTGTGTTTATACTGTCAATTCTTCTAACTTTCTAGCTATGTTTATACTGGCGATTCTTCTTACTTGCTGGTTGTTTTTATACTGGTGATCCTTCTTACTTTATGGCTGTGCTTATACTGGCGATTCTTCTTACTTGTTTGCTATGTTAATACTGGCGATTCTTCTTACTTGCTGGTTGTGTTAATACTGGAGATTCTTCTAATTTACTGGCTATGTTTATACTGGCAATTCTTCTGAATTGGTGGTTGTGTTTATAAAGACAATTCTTCTTACTTCTGATTTTAACAGATTCCGTTATATAACTCTACGAAATGTTAAAAATTTAATCAAGATATAAATGATATTTGTTGTTGAATTGTTTTTGTTTAATAAAAAAATGTAAAATTATTAAAGAAATAATGAATATGAACATACATGTATTAGCTAGTTATTAACACATTCACAACCTGAGCTGTGCAAGAAGTCAGACGGAGCTGAAATTTGGATGGACATGATGTAAAAGGGTTAAATTAGCCACAGTGTGTTCTATAAAAAAATGTTTTTCACAAATGAAAAGCATGGGTTATAGCTATTTCTTTACCTGAATAATGTAAGTTTTTTTTTAAAATTTAATAAAATTAAAAAAAACTTTTCTATTTACGATTTTTTCCCTTTGGGAAAAAATAAAAATTTTTTGGGTTTAGTTTACATGTAAGAAAAAACCAAAGGTGATTTCTTTTCCCTCCAGTTTCCTGTTTTTCCACCACGTGAAAAATTTTATCTTTACATTATAAAAAAAAATGTTAATTTTTGGGGACCCTTGGGTAGTACAAAATAAACAGCGAGATTTGTAGCATCATAACATATATCATACTGTGATTGTTTTTTTGTTAAAGTGATTATATTTTTATAATAAAATTGGACAACTATCAATGTATTGTCTACATATGTAAAGTGACCATTTATGTCAATTATTACGGACACAGTGAGCGACACAGTTCAGCAACAACAACAATGTTGTTTGATATTAATATCACCGGTACGTAATACACATTTAACAATGCATTTTACGTCCCCTATTGGCGATACAAATGATATGATGTATATAAGGAAAATCAATGACCCCATCGACATTTCGACCCCAGGGTTTTCTTTAAAAAGAAAATTGTAGACAATCACTAGAATTTGTTTGATGCAAATATTTAAGCTCTAGTTCTTTGGATTTTTTAAAAGAAGCCCTTTTATTTTAACTATATACATTTAAGAAAATGATGCCCCGGGGCGGAGCCACTTTTGACCGTAGGGTTTTATTTGAACAAACTTGGTAGACACCCATTAGATGTTTCATGCTTGATATCTAAGCTCCAGCTCTTTGGGTTTTTTTCAAATAGGATTCTTTAAGTTTTTAATATATACATAGTAGGAAATGACCACCTCGGGGCGGGGCAAATTTTGACCCAAGGGCTTTTATTTGAACAAACTTGATAGACTCTCACTGGAAGATGTTTCATGCCAAATAATTCTTAGCTCTAGCTCTTTGGGTTTTTATGTAGTTTAATAGATGAATAAATAGTTTTTTCCACCAGTTTTCAGTTGGTTGTTTTTCATAATTTTTCTTTTATCTAGTTGTTAAACACTACGAGAAGATTAATATCGGTGCCCTGGTTGTTACTGTTAAAAAAGGTTCATTGCCGGTGCCCTGTAGGAGCCATTGTTATATAGAGATTATATTTGGATTAACGATTGTCGGTGCTACATGGGTACACCTTTTTATTGAGAAATACGTGTTTATTTAACGGGTTTCGTAAAAGTTGATTATTTTATTGAATAGTAAATATGGATTATGAGAAATGGGTATCATTGGGAGAGAGGCTTGGGTGAGGGACGGGATTATGTTGATTATGTTCAAAGGACAGAATCAGAATATCTTGACAGAGAAGAAAGGAATATTAACGTGAAGAAAATAGACGGCGATTTGAGGCTGAACGTAAAGCAAAAGAAGCTGAATGTGAAGCCGAGCCACGGGGTTTTGAAGCCGAGCGTCTAGAAAGAGGAAACGAAACATTAATTTTGTGCTGAAGTAGAGGTGAAAATGAAAGAGTAAGAAATAGAATTGATGTAGTTAAAAATCGCGGTTGGGGATTGCCTAAATACCCCACTTAGCACCGGTTTCAGGCCAAGATTGCCAAAATTCGAAGAGTCAAAATATGACATAGATGGAAAGAGGATACATGGCCAACAAGCTTAAGTTCGTTATTAACGACGAAAGGTCTTGAGGTTTTCACTGGTATGCCCCCCTCAGCAAGCATCGGTCTATCAAGAATTAAAAACAGCAGTTTTGAAAAGTTACAATTTAACAGAAGCCGAATTCAAAAATACATTTAGAGAGAGTCAGCCGGAACAAGGGGAGACTGTAAACCAATTTATGGCTCGCTTAGATAGGTACTTTAATAGGTCGAAAGAAATGGCCGACGCTGCCAGATGCGTAGACAAATTGAAAGGCCTATTTATTGGAGAAGCAAATTTGTTGAAAGTTTGTTCCCAACAGAGCTAGCTTTTTCCCCAAGGAACGAAAACCCAAAGGATCATTAAAAGATGTATCCCTTTGGCTTATCAATACTTTAGAGGCTATGGCGGTACATTTTACAAATAGCAAAAGCTTCAAAAGTTGCCCAATTTTTCAAATAAAATTGACCAATTAGCGCCTAATCCCAAGGTAAATGCTATCGAAACCCAAACAGTGCCCAATCACAGAGAAAAAGAGAAAGTTACATGCTTATATGTAAAATAGGAATTTGGTCATTTGGGCCAGAGATTGTCGGAAGAAAGACTAAGAAAAGATGCTGCTTTCCAAATGTCAATATGGCGAGCAAAATAGAAATTGCTAATAAATTATTGGGTAATTCTTCACAAGGAACTGGGCGTAGTATCCTGGGAAAATAGATGTGATGGTAGATCAAGAATGATAAGAAAGTATCGGGGCTTTGTATGGTCAATTTCTCCAAACGAAGTTCCCTTATTGATGGTTGTATTGAAAAAGAGGAAACTCCAAATATAAGCCAATGGTAATTCTGGTGCTTTGTCATACAAGTAACTGTTGACAATTGAAATCATTAGAAAGGTGAATCGGTCAACTTTGGATCTGAAACAAAAAGGATATGTTGTAAACAAGAGGTGACAAGTTCCTAAGAGACACTGGTTGCAAGTTAACAGTAAGTTAGAAAGAGAAGTTGATGGAAGAAGGTACAAATGCTGAATAAAAATTGGGGTGTCATGATAGGCAATAGATTTGGGTCGGTGGTTTGGTAACCCATGGCAAAAAAGACATTGATAACAACCTTATTATAAGGTATAAAATAGAAGCTATGGTTTTAAATATCAGCAATTTGTGGACTTAGTCTTGGGGCAATCAATCATCAGGGTACTTGATAAGCCAAATGAGAAGTGGGTTAGCCGAAAAGAAACAAACATAGCAATTGTTGTTACTAGAGCACAGGCAGAAAAAGAGAAGAAAGCAATCAAAGTTCCAAAGGTCGAAGATAATGAAATTACGGAAGATGTTCTTAAGAAAGAACAATCAAGTTACAATACGTTACAGCGAATGTGGCAGTATGATAGAGAAAATAAGATCATGAAAACAAAAAGTGGTAACAAAAATCTGGAAACAAAGGGATCCCTCGGAAGCCTTAATCACAACAAAATTACAAGAGAATTGCAGACTCGGTTTTATTGAGTCTGTACATGAGGGACAATGAATACGTGCAACATCCCTCACACCCCATAGCACCGACAAAGTCAGATATGAAGTAGCAAAATGTATTGTATATAATATTTGAGACGGTGAAAGGTGATTTAAAGTCTGAAACAAAACAAATCGTTGTTCCTAGTAAAGATCACAAATGAGTAATGTCATTAGCTCATGAGTCTATAGTGGGTGGGCATTTGTCTGTACGCAAGACTTAAGTTTCTTCTATTTGACCTTTTTCAACTTTGGTTGTTCCAGTATTCCTACTTGAATACTGTATAATCACCCTTAGGATATGTTGCCTGCTATTTAAATTGTCTTTTGACGTCTTATCTGTAATATGCAGGCTTCATAACCTCAGATCCCCTTTCAAAATTCCATTTTATTTAGTTCCGCCCATTGTTTGCACACGTAAGCCAGTGCTAGGGGGCGTGGACGATAACTTGCATTTTCCAGTACCGTCCATGAACAGGCTCGATCAAACCAAATTCTGGAAACAAAGTGATCCCTCGGAAGCATTAATCACAACAAAATAACATAAGAATTGCAGACTTTTGTGAAGCCTGCAAATATTTTCAGTTTTGCCTTGTTGGGCTTTCTTTAGGGATTCTGTTTTTCTCTATTTTTTAGACAGGATAAAGTCTAGTTTTCACTGGCCAGGTATTTCTAGTGATATAACTAGATTTTGTCGTTCCTGTGATATTTGTCAGAAGACGGTGCCCAGGGGTGACTTCAGAAAACTCCCTTATAGATGATCTGTCTATTATTGACACTCCAACCCAGAGAATAGCTGTTGATTTGATAGGGCTAATTTCGCCGGTATCAGAAAAGCGAAATAGGTACATATATTAACTGTAGTTGATTATGCTACGCAGAAGCTGTTGCTTTACAAAGAATAGAGACTGAAAATATAGCCAGAGCATTGTTAGATATTTTTGCAAGAGTAGGTTTTCCATCGGAAATACTCAGTGATAGAGGTAGTCAGTTCACATCAAAATTCATGGAATAAGTTTGTAGACTTGTATCACTGAAACAGTTGTTTACTACCCCTAACAATCCAAAATGCAATGATCTTTATGAGAGAATGAATGGTATTTTAAAAATCATGTTGAAGAAAATGTGCCAAGAAAGACCTAAGAATTGGGGCAGATATTTGTCTGCGGTTCTCTACCAGTTTAACCAGTTGCTGTGCATCTACATGTAAATGTAAAATCGTTACTCTAGCAAATATGCGAGTTTTGCATACTATAAACACTATAAAGTGTTGAGAATTGAGTACCGCTCAAGCCGGTGCTAGGGGGCTTGAGGGATGTTGCACTTATTCATTATCCCTCATGTACAGACTCAGTCAAACCGAGTCTGTAATTCTTATGTTATTTTGTTGTGATTAATGCTTCCGAGGGATCACTTTGTTTCGCAGAATTTTGTACTTCACAAACAGCAGGTGTCAAGTGCCGTGTGGCAGCCGTAAAAGTTGCCTCCGCTACTTCATTCAGTGTTGTTATATTTTCTGGTCCTTCGGGATCATTGATGCCACACTATAAAGTGTTGAGAATTGAGTACCGCTGCCAAGCCGGTGCTAGGAGGGCGTGAGGGATGTTGCACTTATTCATTATGCCTCATGTACAGACTCAATCAAACCGAGTCTGCAATTCTTTATGTTATTTTGTTGTGATTAATGCTTCCGAGGGATCAACTTTTGTTTCCAAGAATTTTGGAAAGAAAATTTACATCAGTTAGGGAAGGCAACACTTATAGTGTCGTAACGTTTTATTCTTTGTTGAGAAAGAGTATTTTGAAAAGGAGTTTTGTTGATTTTTTGCAAGTTGGTTGAATTTGATTGTGGTGATCTTAATTAATTGATCAGTGTTTCATTGACTTGTAATAAGTTGTTTTGGTTGTTGTATTTTATTTGGTTGTTGAGTTTATATCTGTTTCGTAAAGAAATATTTGGTTGATATTGGTTGAATTTTTGGTGTCAAGATTATATTAGTTGATGCTTTGTTTTTGAGGATATCTGTGAAATATTGGTGCTTTAGTTTAAGTTGTTTTTCCTGATGCTGATTAAATTTTGTGAAGTTAATATTGTTTGGTTGAAATATTGTAGTCCATACTGTATCTTAGAGTTGAAAGAATATTCATTTTGTGTTCTTCATTTTTGTGGCGATTTATTATTTTGTTTGATCATAAGTTGTTTAGAGCTTGGGCTCCCTAGGTGTCTAGTATTGTTTTCGTTTAAAATACGTATATGTGAAAAGATATTTCGTATAAGTGGTTGATAAATGATGTGTGTTTGTTTGGTATGTACATAATGATCAGAGTATTTTTGTTTTGGGTGTTGATAATAATCAGAGTTAGTTGTTTAAATGTATATATGGATTTGAGATAGAAAAAGATTTAAAACACCTAAAAATAGTGTAACTAAACAATTACAAGTAGTTTTCCAACTGCAAATATTTCAATCTTAAGTCAGGCGGTGCTGCCAGCCTCCATATCTTGGAAATTTGTTCTAGGGTTTTATTACTAAATCTTTCCTTTCTAACTTGCACCAACAATTTAAATTAGTTGTCATATGAAATAAGCATAAAGGTAATCTGCCACATATAGGAACATTTCCAAATGACCTTTGGTATTTATTGATTGCTAGATTTGATTTCTTAGCCTGAATAGACACTTATTATCTCGATGTATTATCATATGTAAAAAGTCGATTGCAACTAAATGAATAATAAATTTTTCAATGACGGCAGTGCTAACTGTGAAATTACACAGCAGCAAATTAATGTTATGATATATTTGTCGAGATTCTTTATGGTATTATATAAGCTGAAACAGGACAAAAATTATGGTATTCCTTCTCAATGTTCTCGGGTAACTGTTTAGTGGAGCCTCGTTACCGCCGTAAACAGTTACCCACGAGCTAGATATTCCTGTCTGTACTCCGAGAGCCGGTGTTAGATTCTTTTTCTTGCATATTATATAAATATCAATTATTTTCAGAACAGAAATTACGAAAAACTAATATTTTCCTTACGCACTTTTTTCTTATTGTACGGTATGAACTTACAACTTCATCATAACCGTTAAATGACGTCATCCTAAGAACGCAATTCATTCATGAAGGCGCCGCGGAAAATGACGTCATTAAAAGCACGTGAGACTTGTTTTACATGGGGGTGTAAGACAGGGTTTCTAGCACCGGTGTAAATGGTAGATAATCCTTCCTGACATGCAAGAAATAAACTGATACCACGTTAAAGAGAGATCCACGATTGAATCAATACTCATTATTTCAAAGACGACCTCCTTTATGGTATACCATAATCTTTGTCCTGTTTAATACTGGTGCAATTTCATCCAAACATTACAGAGATAATCACTAATAAGTCTTTGTTGTGCGTGACATCTGCTTTAAAATTTTATGATTTAATGATTTTTTTCGAAGTCATGGTCCTTTGATTATTTTTTTCTAAGGTTTGTCCGGACTACACCTCTTATACTACTTATGCAATTTCAATGAATCTTTGCATGATTGATTGGTAGCTCATGTACTTGCGCCTAGTACACAAGTTGTTTTGCTTGAATGATTTTTGACATTTTGTCCTGTTAATGATTTTTGTGTCTCCTGCTACAAAGTAGATGCAACATGCAATTACCTATCACGACGCGACACATGTGAACACTGATCGCTCTTGTAATTATTTGATTTTAGTTAACATCCGTGTAGTTAGCTGAAAAATGAAACAGGACCAAATTTTAAAATCGGGCATAGTTAACATTTCAAATGTTAGTACAGCGAACAAAGAAATTCAAATTAATCGAGTTATAATTATGTATGTATATTATTACAATTTGTGCATTTGCTTTGTTATTGCTCTGCGCCCACAGGCGCGGAGCTATTTGTGTTTACTATTTTTTTTTGTCCATGGGCCCGGATTTTAACTATTAATCCCTTCGATTAACAGCTTAAAATAAATTCGGATTTAATAACTCCTTTCGATTATTATATTGGTTCTTTCTTCGGTGATTCTCAGCGTCTCATATTAATTAATGAGAACCGGAAAAGCAGTTCTGCTGTACATGAATTCGAAAGCTACAAATAGCTATTAATGTTCTGATTTTTTGACACTTAGTAATAAATTTGTTATTTCCCTTTTTTACTAGTACATGAAATTATAATTTGTTACATTTTGAATTACATTTACACACAGCATATCAAGTATACTATTAGTGATTGAATTTGTCAATATAAAGAAGATTTCAGGCATAATTTTAAGACTTTAATAATTTTAAGGGCATGACTTTTAGGGCATGACTGGTGACATATGTCCGGGGTCCGTACTCGAAAGCTAAATCTACATTTTCTGGCCGTACGGGCAGAAGGACCCTCATTAAGCATAGACTATAGATAGATAGATCAGAAACTTTGAAATGCAGTTTCAACATGTGGTGTTTCTTTTTATCCCAATAAATCAATTAACAATAGCTTTTTATATATCACCAATGTCAAGTAGATTTTGTATCTTTGACTCGCATAGTGAGTGAATTTCCTCATACCTGCCTAAAATTCAGGTAACAGTCTTCTATCAGTATTGAAAGAAACCATGTTTTTAATTTGACATAAAAGTTGCATGTAATATCACTATATTATAATATGAGTCCCTTTTGTAACTCTTTGTATATTTGTTACAATTTTAATGATAATAAAAACAGACTTTTATATTTTTTATCATCTTATGTTACTGACTACCGTAGTGACACAAACAGAACACAGTACAGTCATGTCACATAACATTTACAAGTCTTGTAAGTCTTGTTTGTATTCAATGGAATTACTTTCCTTACCAGGTAGGCATCAGAGAAAGCATTTTTTTTCAAATTAAAAATCTGGCCCCTCTTTTTAATTATGGACAGTGCATAAGATAAGTATAATTATGCAAAAAATGGTTTACAAAACATTCGGAAAAATATACAATAGTACTTAATCTGAATATAACATGACCTGTGCGTAGGAATAATTTGGTAAGGTATCTGTAATGAGCGCATTTTTTGCGCGGAGCTTCTCAATTGCTGCATTGCAGCAACATTTGTACTTGCAAGTTATTGATTTCTGACTTCTGAGCTAATGTTTAATATGAAATACCTCAGCACTTTTTACTTTGAACAGATACAATGAGATATAAGTAAAACTGCCCAACTTAAATGTATATTGAGTTTTCAAGCGAATCGAGCAGAAAAAATATACATTTATTATTTTCTTATTAAAATAAATTAAAATTTTAAAAGAAAAAAGGTACTGATGGTTTGCTTGGAAATTTAATTGGAAGCACCCTCTCTGAATCCGCGCCGGCTTTTCTATAAATAGTGTTACAGTAAAACGAGATATTTTTAGCTGTGAAATTCCAAAACTGCTACTATTTATAGTCAAATTGGGTTTCTGGTTCTTCTTGACCTGTTTAATTAACAATTTGAACAAATGTGTGGCTTTTCAGTGAAAAAGATCATTTTATAGGGAGACTTTCCGCTTAGGATAAAAAGACATTTTTCTGGACAAGAAACTTGACAAAGGATTGAGCAGAAGTTGTCTAGAGGTAATGTGTCATGTGATCTTATTTAACTGTAGAATTCGAAATTAGCTGTTATCTGTGAATATAATATTATCAATTAATTCAAATAAGTCAGTATACATGCAAGAGTAATTTAGGAATAATTTAAGCTTATCATTGTCAGACTCAGGGTTTTCACTAGGATTTGGTGTAGGAGGCAATTTCAGAAATTAAGGGGGCCCTTTTAATAGGGGGTCCGGGGACATGCATCCCCGGAAGATTTTGAAAAAAAATAGATGTAAAATCTAAGATGTAAGATGTACAACTCAATCTTAATGTGTGAAGGCTACTATTTCTTGAATCCGTAAACCTTAGGATAGGAGATGTTCTATTTTGAAAATATCTTGTCGTACAGATTTCTACAGACCTCCTACAATTAAACAGATTACCAAATTATCTCCTGATAATGGGTGTAATGAATGAAATTCCAGAACAATTAGGACTAAAAGGTAAACATAGTAGAAAGATGGAGTTAAACTGATGTTGAAAAACAGTTCTAATAATTATTTTTATTACAGTTCATTCTTTTATCAATTAATTACAATCGACTTTTAACATATGAAAAGACATCAGGATAAAAAGTCTTTAGTACGTAGGGAGGCTTCTACGATCCAATAGTTCAAAAAGGTTAACATGACTTAATTTGTCTAATGCTCTATAAAAGAATAAAAATGATAAACTCTTCTAACTTCTTTTGGTTAAATATTACGATCATACCGCCTTTTTTCAGAAAAAGAGACCATAACTTGGGGAAAAGATTTAAAAAGATGAACAGCTTTCATTGAGTTAACAATTTTCTACAATTCCAAAACGGACAACTAGTCTGCTTTTAAGACTACGACAAATTTTTGCATTTTGTTAAAGGTGAGTAAAGTATGTACGTTACTGTTTTGCCCTACAATACTTTTTAAAACTCTTCCCTTATATGAGTAAAGATTCGAATCTCATTATTGTGTGTTATGAATTGTTGTCAAAAACTTATATAACTATTATGTAAATTAAATGAACACTATCTTTTTTCATTGATGTATTTAAAAATAGTATAATGTCATGATATGCATATTACCCTGTTTCCCGCCATCCATAAATTGTTAATTTCAGCTATCACTGTAATTAACAAAGTTCAACATGATTTTATCTTATTTTCGTGTGGTGTGATAGTTTGAAAAATGAAGCAGAAAAAAAATAATGTTGATCATTAACATCATTTGTAAACATTGCATTAAATGTTTCGAGCGAGGCAAGCAGAAAAATATAAATACATTAATAACTTATTTATATAATAGTTAAACATGTAAATTTTTTTGAGCAAACGCCCTCCTCCCTGAATCCGCCCCGACTTTTGCTACTAAACATGTGATATTTTTAGCTGTGAACTTCTATGTATAGTCAAAATCGGTTTGTGGTTTAATTCATTCATTCGGGTTACTGCGTAGATAGGAAAATGTTTCTTCTTGTGTTAATATTGGATTGTTTTATTGAGAAATTGGACTTACGTGTTGCTCTTCTATTGAAAGGGAAAACTCAGCCTTGAAAAGCCGGAATTTTCTGAAAAATATATTATTTTGCAAATAAATCAACTAAAACTTACATTTCTATGTCTACAAACGTAAAACTACATGTATGCCGAAAATGGGTTAACAGATTATACAATAGTCCGAAAAGCTCGTTAACGGAAGGTAAGCTTATTGACTCATCGTTCTTAAGGCCTAAACAGACGGCAGGATTTTTCAGTATCCATACCAATTAAACTTAGATTCACAAGCAAATCTTAATGTGTGAAGGCTACTTTTTCTCGAATTCATACAATTTGATACTAGATTTACAGGATAGGACATATTCTATCTCTTAATAGTCGTTGTACAGACCTCCCATGATCACAGGTGACAGATTTCCCAATTATGCACTGATAGTGTGTTTAATGAATGATATTATGTTAACTAAGTTGTAAGATGGAGTAAAAAGGGTGTTGCACTGATAGTTTGTTTGTGTTTAATGAATGATATTATGTTAACTGAGTTGTAAGATGGAGTAAAAAGGGTGTTGAAAAACTTATTGGGAACCCCAAAGTTGTGGCATGTTCGAATCCCAAATTATCCAGAAAGTGATAATGGACTTTTTTTTTTAATGGAAGAGTTTCCATTACTCATGCAGATAACATACTTTTTCACTGTGAGACCAAAATACAGAACAGAATGATTGATTGGTAGCTCAAGTACTTATACATAGTTCACAAGTTGTTTTTTGGCTTGAATGATTTTTGACAGAGTTATCGCCCTTTTATAAAACTGTGTTTTGTTTGTGTTGCCAGCTACACATAAGCTTCTCTGGACTACACAATAGAAACTACTTGTGCAATTTCATGAATATTTTACAGGAATGTTCAATACCACGTGTTGTTGTGCATCTCATCATCATGTTGTTGTTCATTGATTTTTGTCAGAGTTATGGCCCTTTAATTATTTCTAATTTTTAAAATTTTTCTCGGACTACATATCATATCCCACTGATGCAATTTTAAAGAAACTTAAAAGGATTGGTCGGTAGCGCAAGTACTTGTGCATATTACACAGATTTTTACGTTGAATGATTTTTGAGTTATGGCCTTTGAAAAAAAAAACGTTTTGTCCTGTTAATGATTTTGTGTCTCCTGCTACAAAATAGCTGCAACCTGCAATTAGTTATCATGAGGCGACACATGATCGCTCTTGTTGGCGTCCGAGCCGAAGCGCGATGCCCTTTATGGAATGAAATCAGATTTTGTGAATTGGCAATTGCAACTTCTCGGGCCTTTTAGTCGGTCATCATAATCGATCATTCCTATTGGTATGAGGGTGTTTGATTATTAAAAATGAAATGTCGCGATATGTACAATGAATAGCGAACTGGAAATTTTCGCAATGCAAACATATTCAAATGAAATAGTCTTTTCCGTCAATTAATCGCGCCCTTTTGTTTTTTTTTATTAATCATTTTGCAGTACACATTGGGTTATTATGTATGTAATTGTTGTACATGTATCCAAAAGCTATAAATAGAATGATGACTTATCATTGTGAATGTCCGAAAATATATTCATAGAAGCAGTTTTAGTTTAACGAAACGTTCATTCGTGTCGCGCTATGGTATTAAATTACAAACTGGAGAATTTTGAAGGAACTGAAATGGAAACATATTCAAAAAATTAATTGCATTTGTTATGAATCTAAAGAAAAAATTGATGTATGCCATTTTTTACGAATTGTTATATCATAGTATTATCATTTTGTAAATGTCTTTTCTGTAGGTTCTTTCCGGTTTTCGTTTTTACGGGCCTGATATCACTTATGACATATTTACCGTGAATATTTAAATGTGTGTGTGTGTGTGCGTGCGTGCGTGCGTGTGCGTGCGTGTGTGTGTGCGTGTGTGTGTTAGCGTTTGTTTACCCTCGCCACCGCGTAGAATATTTAAATCGACCAAGTTCATAACTTTATATGTCGCTTTTATTTTGACGTTGTGCGACAATTAACAGGTCTAGCAGTAGTATACTATCAAACCCATTCGCTGTTCAAGTCTCTTTTTCTAAAATCGACCCTGATTTCCCTACCATTTTGTATGTTCCAAAGAAAATACCACATGAACTTGAAATTCTTTCAAATCACCAATATATTTTAATGATACTATCCAAAATACCCCCTATACAGTATAAATAAACTTATACCATATGGAGAGTATATTTTGGATATCATTGACCTGTATATTTTGGATATTATCGTTAATATTGATAACTTTTAAGTTCCTGTGAAAAAAAAGTAATATTCTAATCTCTAGCATGCCTACCAAAGTTCATAATGAACAATGCTTTTCTTCCACCCATTCATAAATGATATACAATTATATTAAAAACCAAATAACCATTGAAAAGTTTATAAGAATATCTTGTCATCATATGTCTACTAGTTCATCTTCACTTGCTGCATTTCTTGCTTGGACGCTCTTTGATGCTTTGCATCAATGCTTTTCTTGTAATTATATGATTTTAGTTAACATACGTGTAGTTAGCTGAAAAATGAAACAGGACACGTTTACGTTTCAAATGTTAGTACTGACATAAAATGAAGGCGAACAAAGAAATTCAAAATATAATCTGATATGAATTATCCCAGCAAACACGTGACGTTTAAATAACGTCGGATTGTCGTTAGATTTTGGTCGCGACGTCGGCGACCAAAATACGACGTAAATAGGACGTCCAAAAACCGATGTCTATTAGACGTTACTTTTTGACGTTGAAATAACGCCAGATTCTGGTCGGTAACCTGACAGTAAGTAAAAAAATAACAAAAATATAATCCTATTAATTCGCTGGTGTAATCATTTAAGCCTTTTTTCAAATGTTATTTGGCATAAGGGGTATATAATTATACAGGTGCCTTTCCAAGGCTAAGTGCGCGGTACTGCGATCTAATAAAATATACAGGTGGCGCTGTTTTCATGTTATTGTCTTGAAATCTATTTATAGCCATAGATCTGATCATTTAACGTTTTATTATCATTTCTGGTATTATTTGTATCACAATAACAAGCTTTATTGTTGTTTTAAAATATGATAAACAAGATCAACAAGGAAAGGCGGCGTTCAATGAACGCAACCCCCCACATGACCAAGCAACAAGAACCCAATGGCAAGGAGCCAAGGCGGACCCCAAACATAAAAAGGACACTATTAAACATAGTGACTGAAAACGGAAAGAAAGCATAATTATATAATTCGAATCTACTAGCTGGCACTGATGGAAAATTTAAATTTGTATGTTTTTTTGGCGGCCGGCAGCGTGACAGATCAGGATTCGGGATGCATTGATTTAGTGGATATTCTAGATTTTCTGGAACAAAAAGGTCAGTTCAATTTATTTCTATGTTGTATTTGATAACTAAATGCATGTTTGCAAGCAGTTTAAACTTAAACTATTATTATGTAAACTGTTGAAGCAAAATGTTACACATTTTCGCGATGATGTCTGTTCATAAATCATTTTCAAATTTGGCATGTTTTTACTTAGCTCTTTTTTATATACGTAAAGAGTTAATATTGTGTCTTTCAGCAGTGCTAAATGTTCATATCCTTGTTAAATTGTGATATTTTTGTCTGTTACAATCAGTGAAATGAGAATGAATTTAGACAGATTTCGAGTCATTTCGTACCCAAAACGTTTCGGCCCAAAATTACCCAAGACGTTTCGGCCCCAGATGTTTCGGGCTTTTTCCATATCGGACCCATTTTTAATTAATACAGAATACGTTTATTTTTTCATACACAATTTTAATATCGTTCTAATAAATAAAAGGAATATGAATGAAAGAGCTAGCTGATTGATTGTTTAATAATGACTTTATAGGGACATTAAACTAGTAGGAAAAAATAATTAAAACAATCAGAACGGAACATAAACCACATAGTAATTAACATACATTTATTACCAACAATAACTTAAAATCTTTAATTTGAAACTATGAAAAATTAAAGACTTGCATAACTATCTTATTAATTACATAAGGAGGGTGTTATTTTCATTTCAGGTGGACATGCTCTAAAAGGTTGGAGGGACAGGAATACGCGATAGTGTTAAAAGAAACAAGAGAAAGTAAGATTTCTGTAAATTTCATTACATACTATAATACATACTAAACTGGAGTTTAAAGCGGCCTTCAGATTATCTAAAGGTTAAATAAGTTATCTTTAAATTAATCATTTCAAATAAATGTAAAATCAAAGGAATTTCGTTGTGTATTATTATATAAGATCAATAGAGTGAGGTTTATTGGTGATTCATTCTGAACATGCTCAACTCTTCCCTTAAAAGATTCAGTTAATAGATTCCATACCGGTATTTGAATTATTCAATGTTTCTAACAATATAACCAATTAAAGATCTTAAAAAAAGTTTGAATATATTCAATTATCATTGATGAATCATTAACAGATCAACAAAAAATTGTCAGGTACATATACATAACATCCCATCACAACTTCTAACTTTTAAATTTATTTCAATTCAGGTTGATGGCAAATGAGCTGCTGGTCAAATTTATAACAAAAGATGTCTTTTAGATCAACAACATTGATTGATAACAGGTACATAATTTTAGAAAACATGAAAGAACTGTTTTAAAGTCTACTCTTAAAGAAAAATAATGACTCCTTTGTGCATGGTTTCCATTTTCTCTTAAAGCACAATTTGTTTGTTTTATTTTAAATCAAAAGTATTTTGTTCAAACTTGTAATTCATATTATTTATTATTAAATTTGAAGAGCATTTAAAAAGGGAAGGTTAATTTAATACTTGGTCAGTTTTTGTCCTTTTTATTTTCAGTATTTATGTTTACTTTTAATTTTCGTTAAATTTCACTTGTAAAGAGCTAGCAAAGATGTTCAGTTATATAAGAATACTATCAAAATAGGCAGAAATTTCTTAAGGGCAGATAACCATGAAAAACATTTTGCTTGTTATTTTCCCATTTTGTTTTCTAAAATATTTTGTATTTGTTTTTTTTCAGTGAAATGATACCACAAACGCCATTGGACATTGTTTAAGATATGCCCTTGACAGACATGGGGATGTTGGGAGAAAGAGTCACATACCTTAAAGCAGCACACCTACAAATTCATGCGATTTTCATGAAAATTTTTGACACA